GAACTCGCGCGGTCGCTCCCCGGGTCCTGCCGCAGAGGTGGCGAGCGCAGACGGGGTGCACAGGGCGCTGATTCTGGGATCCAGCCTGGAAAGAGAATCGCTGGCGCATGGGCTCCCGGTCGAAGCCTCGCGAAGCCCATGGCTGCAGTCTGACCCGAGTTCAGGGTCACGGAATATTATAGAACCCAAGACGAGCCATGCTGCCTACTGCGCCTCGCTCACCGCCTATCCCACCAAGACTGTCGGAAACATCATCTCGTATACGCGTTGCCAACATAGTCGCGCGCCCTGTGATGTCACCCACCCGACCGCGTCGCTCGCGTCGAAGGTCGGCTTGCCGAACAGTCCTGCGAAGACGTGGTCGTTCTGACGCGGCGGGCGCACCGTGACTTGACATCGTTGCAGTCGGCGCGCTCGAGCTGCTAACTTGCGTGGGGCCATGCGCCAAAACTCTAGCCCCCTGAGGTAGTCAGCGACTTGTGTTTGATGCGCTATTTGCCGTCCACCTCGTCTTCCTGCCGTCAGCGTTCTGCGCCTCCCCTCGCAATGGGCGCATGGCGTGCAACTAGCTTATCTAGGGCCCGCAACATGTTTCACGTGGATGTAAAAAACCAATGCCGTGCAACGCTCCGAGCTGGTAGCAGAAAATCAGCATGGACTCCGCGCCATCCAGAGAGCGCGCTCACGAGTCCAGAAGCGCCCCGAGAAGCGGAGAGCCACGACCACGGCACGTCGGCGCTTCTTCTGAAACACTGGGCAGAAGCTGCTGCTGGACGAGACCTCGGCTCTTGAATATCTGGCGCGCGGCTTGCGTCGGGCTGGCAAGATAATTCTGCCCCGCCTCAAGAACTGGGCGCCGCGGTGCGATCCAGGGTCAACGAGAACGGGGGCGGCCCCCAGCTTGGCGCGTTTCTGGCGGCGGCCGATATCTGCCCAAGCAACGGCCAGCTCCTCGTTAGTCTCCTGGCTCCGGCTAATTAGCCCCCCCAAACCTTCGCCCTTATTTTCTCGCGATGGTCGTGGGGCGGTCGTCGGCGCAGCGACGCAGTGGCAAGTGCGCGGTGCGTTTAGCGAAAGGGCGCCCAATCCTTGACCCTTCGCTCTCAAGTGTTTTCCCTTTGTGGCGCGGGGCCACTCGTTGACCCCGGTCTGAGATCCAAGGACGAAAAGGCACACATGGATCACCCATGAGTGCGCCTCATGTTGAAGTAGCAAGGTGGGCGGCAAGTGCAGACTCGACAGACACATAATAGCCGCGCGATATCACTGCTGCCCGAAACCTCCAAGGTCTTCTCGAATGAGCCCCGCGCTAACACCGTCGAGCTGCGTCCACCCGATGCCGCCGAAGGCGTTGCTCAAGTCGTGGAAGTATTGCAAGCAACTGCGGCCAGCCTATCGGATCCGATATTTGGTAGCATTCACTGCGATCGCAGCGATATCCTTGCAACGTCCTTCCGATAATCCACATGCTGCATGGGGCGTACGTGGCAATCAAATGCCCGCGTGCCGCGCCTTGCGCTATCGGTCGAGGAGATGACCAAATCCTGCGCCGCCGATGCCCGTGGCGCCCTCGGCCTGCCTAGGCAACGATACGCCTTGACTCGCATGCCAACGTGTAGGAGTCCGCCCAGACGCACGCATTCTGACGATACCTTCTTCAATCGCTCAGCGCAAGAGAGCGCCTCGCGCATCAGAGGTCCGAGACCAAGTCCTCGGCCCGCTGGCGCCACATCCTCTGGAAACTAGGGTCCACGGCCCATTGGTTGCATGAGAAACTCATGTGGTGTACGCCACGGTGGTGCTGCTCGCCGTTTTGCTGCTCTGCGCAGATATCGTGGTGCTCGGCGAAAGTCGCCCCCCGCAGCCGTTCTATCGTTCTCGTCCAGCACCGCGGTTGCCGTCAAGTCAGCGCGCTGGTCCCCCCATGCTTCCCGGTCGCGCAGCTATCGTGCCTCCATGCCGTCCTGGTGGCCAGAAGATTCCAGCGCTGCACCCACTGCCCCATTATGAGGGCAGCCGCGCGTATTGCAAGATGGTAGAACCGCGCGGTGCCGAACTTACTTCCTGCCGCTCGTCGTGGTAGCCGGCGTCCGATGTACCTCCGCATTGCGTCGTCTGCTCTACGCTTCCTATCAGAAATCTAAAGTGCGTCCCTGAAGTGTCTGCCACTGCTGATAACGGTATTCTTTCATGCGTTCGGAGAGAGCCTTCAACCCAATTTCAAATGCGCCCATGTCCTGCTCACTTATATCCACGTCGAACCTGGCGCGCTTCCCCACTGTCTTGTGAAGGGAATTCGCGTCGTTCCTTTCGCTGCTGATGTTCTAGGCCATCGTCAAGAGAGGCTCGCGCAAAAAAAAAAAAAAAAAAAAACATGCGCGCCTTTTTACTGCCAGCGATTGCAAGAGACTGAGCAGCGTAACGGTTCAGCCTTCGAGGTGCGGCGCCGCACCACCAGAGCTCAATCACAGAGATGCGAGCAGCACGAGCATTCACGCACAGACTGCCCGCAGCATACATGCTGCCTTTAAAAGGGTGGAGGAGAGGAAGAGGAGGAGGAAGACTTGAGCGACGCAAACAGCGGCGGAGCAGAGGCGCGACGGAAACACGTGAAATCACTACAATCCTGTGCGCCTTTTTACTGCCAGCGATTGCAAGAGACTGAGCAGCGTAACGGTCCAGCCTTCGAGGTGCGGCACCGCACCACCAGAGCTCAAGCACAGAGATGCGAGCAGCACGAGCATTCACATGCAGACTGCCGAATGTGCGCCAAATATGCAGCAGCAACCTTGCAACGCCGAAAAGTTAAAAGGCGCACTATTTAGACAAAGATTTCTGGATCACGTGCGCAGAGGCACCTGCCTCAGCGTTGTGGAAACACCTGGCCAGCGCGAGACATAATTTACGCGGATAGACAGCACCCTTTTTTGTCTGAAACCCGCCCCCGGGCAGAAAGCCCTGGAGCTGAACGCGGGGGCGGCCCGTCCGCGAACGAATGCCTCTACGCGAGCCACAGCATACAGAGTCTCTAAAGCTGCCGGGCTCGAGATCAGACATCATGAGCCCTGTGTACTTTTTCCACGGGCCCCCCCGCTGGCACATGGAAGTAATGAGGAAAATCACACACTTACGCCTAAGGAGCGCTTTGAACCTTGGGAAGAGCCACGGCCGAGGTCTTGGGGCTCTCCACGCTCCACGGAATACGCATCACGATGGACAGGCAGGCAAGAGTGGCCACAAAACTATTCAGCGAATTCGAGACCTCAACGATGGCTTGGAGGTGTGGTTTGAGGGAGGGGAGGCCAAAGAGGTGAGTATCATAACGGACAGGAGGGGCTCCAACTCCGTGATCACGGCAACGCGTTAGGGCATTGCACTGTGTATCTCCAAGAATATGGAAATCCCGAAAAGTCAACTTAGGAAGCGGTAGTACAAGGTTCCTGGGATTTGCGTGGCAAGCGTCGTGCCGACGCGATATCATGCATATGAACAGTCGTTGTGGCACAGCGCCGACTAGGAGCTTGAGGGTGTAATGTGTGTATAATCATACACTGAGATGTTGGAACAAAGGTATAATATAGATATAGTGTTGAATATGTGTGAACGTACTAACATACATTTAATGGATATGCTATCTAAATTTGATAACATGCGTATGTGTACGCATACACGGGGCACAGTCGCATGGTTGTACACATGTGCATGTATGTATGCGTATGTGTGCGCGTATACATGTGTATACTACATTTGTATATGCATATACATATGCATATGCGTATGTACACACCCATGTAGAACTTAAACGATCACACCATACTGTCACGACCATCATGACCTGCTGAGACGACGAGACGGCGGCACGACGAGCTCGCGGCGTGCGCCGCGCTTTCTCGGGCCGAGCTGCGCCGCCCCCGCTCCACCGCGGGTCCTGGCCGGCGCTCGGACCAGGCGGGCCCTGGGAGGGTTGCGAGTCGTTTGGGAAGATGCGGGGCAGGAGGAGAGGGGCGAAGACGATGATTGCGATGCTGCAAGGACTACAGTGAGAAGGGATAGGCCAGGGCGAGGAGACGAAGGTAAGGTGGATGGAAGAAGGAATCTAGGGTTAGGGGGCTGTAGGGTTGGGGTCTGCAGGGTTAGGGTATGGCAGGTAAGAGTGTGTAGGGTGAGGGCCTTTCGGGTTCGTAGGGTCTGTTGTGTTAGCGCATGTCGGGTTAGGGTATGTTGGTATGTAGGGTTAGGGTATGTAGGACTAGCGCCTGCAGGGTTAAGGCCCGTAGGCGATGATGAGATGATGGTGGCGATTGTTGCCGATGTTTGAGCAGCCGATGTGTGCACGTCGCTACTTATGGCTAGCATTGCATGGTGGATCGATGTGGTGACATACTGTGATACAGCTGCACATCGTATGACGGACGTATGATGTATTACGTTGTGCGTCGTGTGATGTGGCACTGACAGATGATGTTGATATGATGATTCTGTGAGAGGGTTGGAGCGTCCGGGCGCCAGGTCGGAGGTCAGCGAGAGGCGCGGCTACGCGCGCGTGCCAGGTTGCCTCGCCACCCCACCTCATCACGACATCGTTCTTCCACTCCCCTGACTTGGCACCTGTCACGCGCGCCATGCTAGGAGGGCGCGTCGGGCGAGGTCAGCTGGCCGTGCCACTGCGCCCCGCATCGCTACGACAGGCGCGCGGCGTGACCGAGCTTGCGAGCCCTGACTCTCAGCGGAGAACGTCGGCCGCCCCCGAGCGACCGTCCGAGAAGGATGCATCGGCCTTGCATGCGCAGCCACGCCCGAGCTGAGCAAGGACACGCTAACATGTCTAAAATAATGCATTGGTAGACGCACCTGGACACACGAATTGCGAGGGCGACGAGGTCGGTAGGAGATGGGCAGGATTGAGAAGGAATGACGCTGGTTTATGATGTTGAGTAGGTGAAGCGGGGGTGAGGGCGAGGGGAGCAACCTGAAAAACAAACAAACGCACACGACTGCGCTTAATTCAACAGATGCTGGAATAGCTTATCCTTCTTCGCGCCGCGCACAGCTGCCGAAGGCCCGCCGCTGCCCGGCGCCGCGCCAGACTGAGCACTGGCGGCAGCTCTCTTGGCCATCGAGGCCGACGCAGCACTGGCACCGAAAACCGACGATACCTCACTCGGTGGCTGGTTGGCACATCTCGACTGCCTCCTCTTCGCCTGGACCTCGCCGCCAAGCTCAACCCGAGTGAGCTGCGTGGGCCCGCTGTCCTCGGCGCTGACAGGCGTCGACGGCGAGAGGTAGGTAACCTATGAGGAGGGAAGGGGAGAGGGAGGGGGCAAGGGGGAGCGACGGAGGAGGAAGGGCAGGGATGGCGAGAGATGGAGCAGGACACGGCACCTGGATCGTGATGGTAGAAGCACTCGGGATACACAGGTGAGAAGGCAACTCGAGCTTGGTGAGTCTCTGATTGACGATCATGATGGCAGCACTTTGATCAGACACAATAGATACCATCCAAGCTGGCACAGGGCATGCATACGTGATCGAGCTTGCCTTCTCGGGCGTCACGTAGACGCCCAGGACGAGAGAGTCCCTCTCATCTGGCACCGGGACCTTCAGCGCGCAGACCAGGAACGAACGGGGCCCCCGACACAGACTCACAGTCCCGCTGAACGCAAGCTCGGTCGCAGCATCCAGCGAGCTAGCAAGCGCGACCCCTTTGGCGCCATCATGTGCACCCCTCGACTTGCCGGCATGCGCGGCTGCAGCGGGGGGGTCCAGTCGTGGGCAATGAACTCCAATTGTTGATTGGCACCCTCGTTGAACGTGAGCCTGTATAGCTCGCACTCAAGCCGCAAGAGAAACATCTTCATCCAGTAACACGCGGGGAATGCACTCTGGGGCAGCACAAGCACGCACGCCCCGGGTGGCTGGGAGTTGTCGCCGCACACGGCCGACGCCAGGTTAATGTGCGAGCCCGCCGCCAGCGTGACCGCCTCCGAGTCCGAGAACCTGGGAAGGCGGGCGCACGGGGGGAGAGGGGTGTAGGGGGTCGCGAGGGTTAGGGCGGCGAAGGAAAACAAAGATTATCCCAGTGCGACCCTACCTAGGAGTTGGAACACCTAGGACAGCAGCATTAGTAGTAACAGTAACGCTAAGCTAAAGCTAGGCTAAAGCTAAGCTGAAGCTAAGCTAAAGCTAAGCTAAGGCTAAGCTGAAGCTAAGCTAAAGCTAAGCTAAAGCTAAGCCAAAGCTAAGCTGAAGCTGATCAGCAGCTAAGCTAAAGCTAGGCTACAGCTAAGCTAAAGATAAGCTAAAGCTAAAGCTAAGCAACAGCTAAGCTAAAGCAAAGCTAAAGCTAAGCTAAAGCTAAGCTACAGCTAAGTTCAAGCTAAGCTAAAGCTAAGCTAAAGCTAAGCTAAAGCTAAGCTAAAGCAAAGCTAAGCGCTGAGCGAAAAGCGAAGCGAAACGCTAAGCTAAAGCTAAGCTACAGCTAAGCTAAAGCTAAGCTGAAGCTAAGCTAAAACTAAAGCTAAAGCTCCCAGGGGACTGGGGGGAACCGCTCCCCGGGGGCTGGGGGAACCGCCCGGGGCGCTTTACACTGCCCGGCCTTTAAGCTAAGAGAGTAAGAACCCTTCTAGGCAGAGCCAGGGTAGGGAAAAAACGAAATAGCCTGGGCCAGAAATTACAATAGAGGCTGATGGGCCAGAAATATGGCACGAGACGGCCTAATCCATGGATCAGCCACGATCGCGACGACAAGTACGGGCATGGCGAGAATGGATGAGGAGTAGGAGGAGGGGGAGGAGGACGACGAGGCTTCGAGGAGGAGGAGGAGGAGGAGGAGGAGGCAGAGGAGAAGCAGGGCAAGGAGGGGGGGGGGAGGAGGGGGAGGAGGAGGAGGAGGAACGAGGTGCAGGCTGGATGAGGACGAGGAGATTACAGGTGGGAGGATTGAGACGGAGAGGATTACACGACCCCATTGAGCTTGTAGATGTCTTGGAAAGACATTGCCATCGAACTCCACGGAGAAACTGATGGCGTCGGAGCGGCCGCGGGCATCTCCGTCGTCGGCGGGCGCTGCCCCTGCGGGTTCGCGGGCGCCACCGCCGACGAGCCGACCAGCGGGCCAGCGGAATCAGTACTCCCCCTGCTGGATGTGGCACTCGGCGGAGAGGTGGTGGTCATCCTGTCGTCCCCGAGCCCGTGCTGCTCGACGATGCGCCTGACCAGCTCTCCGTAGTCATGCACGTGGCCGCTGTGCACTGCCGTCATGAAAGCAAGGTAGACTGGCACCCACTGGTCAGGCCGCAGGTGACCGCCCAAGTGGCGCAAATGCTGGGCGGCCCCCTTCGCCGCCACAGCCAACTTGGACAGGTCGATGTGGATGGTGGCCTGTGAGCAAGTCATGAAGGTCTCATGCGAATGTAACACGTCGTCCAAGGCCATCTGGGCATACGTCGCACGGAGCTGCATGAACCACAACAGGTCCTCAACCTTCCCGAAATGTCGCAGTATGCATGCCGGCAATTGGGACGTCAACTTGAGGTGCGAGCAAGCTTGCTGGCAGAGAGTCACGACGCCGTTTGGCATGATACCATCCATCTTCTCGCACACGAGCTCGAGGGCCCATCGGGTGAACTCCGACACTGAGGCGTCGTCACTGGGACGAGTAGCAGCATCTGCAAGTGCCTTCCGGGCGCGTCCGTGGTTGGCCCCGAGATGGTCGTACATATAACCGATCAAGCTGCGGTAGGCTGGGTGGCGCTTCGCGGGGATGCTGGCCTTGTTGGCAGCGATGAAATCGGTCAACGTGTTGGTCCACTCGGTCGCCCCGGACTGCAAATCAGCCAGGGGCCTCGTCTAGACTGAGGCGCGGACGTCGACGTCGACGGTCGTGGATGCGTCGAGGCTGGACTCGAGAATATCTTTGACGCTCTGCACGGGCTGGCCCTCGTCGCCACCAACGCCGAAGGCTCCGACGCGGCTCATCGCAGTGGCGGTTGCGAGGTCGCGGAGCTTGGGCCTCAGATCCGACCACTTCGTGTAGGTAGTTGCTCCCATGCGCATCGTGCCCTGGAAGCAAAACTCGATAGCGGGTGTGATCAGTTGCTTGAAGATCGCCATCTGGTCGTCATCCTCGAGCTTGCGCTCTGACACCGCCGACAAGATGCAAGACATTGCATCTAGGAGCCACGCCTTGTGATTATCCATGTTGGTCATATCCTCCTGCGGAATGCATTTCGATGACACCTTGGCCACCTTGGCTGAAGCCTTGGCGGAGCCCTTGACTTGGGAGTAGGACACGCCACCGTCCGCGTCCGTTGCTGCCTGTGCCGCGGCTGCAAGCTGCTTCTCCTTGAGCTTCCGAGCAAGCTCGACGCCGCGCTTGACCACCACGCTATCTACCATTGGTTGCACCAGCCACTTGCACTTCTCGAGCTGTATCTTGTCGAAGACGAACGGCGGCACGCGCCCGCCCGTGCACTTCACGGGCGCGCACATCGGAAGGATAGCGAACCAGACGATCTTCAGGTACTCGATGCTGGTGGAGGCACGCATGACATCATGGAAGACCGACACTCCGATGTGGTGAAGGGTGAATATCGCCACTGTGTTGTCCATGCGCTTGTCGTTAAAGATGCAGCGGGTGCCGAGGTAGTCGAACGTAGCGTCGGTGAGGTTGTACCGCTTGAGCGCATTGAGAAGGGCCTGTGGACGGCGACGCGATGCGACGAGTGATGGGGAGGGGCGATATCTGTCGGTTCGACAAACCAGACGTGGCCCGAGAGCCGTCGAGTGTAACGGTTGGGCCCTGGGGTCCTGGAAAAAAAACGTCGGGCTCGAGGACTCGACTGACATGGGCCCTCCACATCCCTCATCGCACTCAGTCCCCAGCCGCCCCCCACTCGTGCCCTGAAGCTTCAGAATCGCATGAGGAATCTGAACGGCGGTGGTGGCGGTGAAAACCTAGGTTGCCGACGGCAGTCCTGGGCAGAGACCATCTCGTTGCCGCTCTTGAACTTCCTGTCCTTCTCGGGGTACCGGTCGACGATGAAGTCCCATATGCATCCGTACTCGTCACCCTGGACAGCCTTGTTGGCCTTGAACGCTGCAATGTAAGTGTTGGCAAGATTGAACATCTGCAAGAGAGTGAATGTCGAGCCCTTGTGCCAGTCGTTGTGGAAATCGATGAGGAACCTGATGACGTCGTCTGGCGCGCGGTGGTCCAGCACCGTCATGTGGCGAAGCCCTTGCTTCAACGTAAGCTTCACCATCTTGTTCTTGGGGTCCTCAGCAGCCGCCCGGTAGACAGCGCGGCCGAGCGTGCCGTACGAGATCATCAAGTACGGCAACTGCCCACCTGGTGAGAAGACGGCCCACGGGTCTCCGCGGACCCCCGCGACGTTGCCGTCCTCCTTTATTGACTCGGTATATTCAGCCACGACTGTGTCTTGCCGCCGCTCGTTCAAGGGGTGAGGCTTCATCGTCCTCTGCCCAGACTCAGTTTTTTTTTTTTTTATATATAAAAAAAAAAAAAACTTCACAGTGATGTCACGCTGCCCCGTGACCGCATACATGTCCCACAGCTTCTCCAGCAGGGCTGCGCCCTTGAGGCCCTTGAGGCCGGGGCGCTGGTAGATCGTCTCGCACGGCTGGAACTTGGGATCGTTGCCGCCGACGGCCGCGTCGGCCGTGGCCATCTTGGCCACGCAGTTCTCCTCGGCCTCGTCGCTGTCTATGGCGCCAGGCCCAGTGTCATCAGAATCGCTGCCGACGTGGGTCGTCCTCTTCTGCCGAGTCTGATTCGCCCCGGCATGCTTGGTCTTGGCGGGGGCGGCGGAGGTGCTGGCGATCCTGGCGGCGGGGCCCTTGTAGTCCTTGGCCAGCTTCGCCCGCTTGGGCGGATTCGGCACAGGTGCGTCCAAGCGAGCAGCTGATCCAGCTGCACGGTAGCTCCTCTTTTTCTGTGGCTCGGACATGGGCGCCGCGTCGTCGGACGACGACATGGCGGCGGCCTCGTCTGACGACGACATCCACGAGTCGAAGGAGCGAGGGTACAGCGCTCAGAAATCAGAAGAGATCCGAATGCTGAAATGGCTGCGGGCACCGGCCCAACAGGCCGCGCAGAGGGCGGCCCCGGGTGTGCTTGCTATGTCAAGCCGCTGGTTGGGCCTGGGGCCCCATGAGGAACCCGAGGGGGCCTCGAGAAGGCTATGGGGCTCCCAGGAGGCAGCGAGCGTCTTGTGACGGCATCTAAAGAGCTCCGCAAGGGCCTGTGTTTATAAGCACTTCTGAAGCCTCCTGGGAGCTCCACAAAGTGCTCAAGAAGACGTCGAGAAGGCTTCGCGACGGCGTTACGACGGCACGCGAGGGCCCCAAGACGGCATGGGCCCCACTCCCAGGCTCGCCTCAATCACCATCGCCCTGGGGGGCTCCACAGGGGCCAAGAGGGCCCCACGCAGCACGGGCCCGCCTCCCGAGCTCGCCTGCGTGGATATCCGCCACCATCGCCCTGGAAGGCCCAATGGGGGGCCTCGGAGGGCACCGGGCCGCTCGGCCCCCCCCTCCCCCCCCCCGAGATCCGTTTACTTTCACCCCAGGGGACTTTAAGGGGTGCCCAAGAGGGCTCCAAGCCGCGCGGGCACCACCCTCCCAAACTCGCCTGAGTGGATGTCCGACCCCTCGTGATCCAATCGCCATCGCCCCAGGAGGGCTCCAGGGGGGGTGTCCAAGCCGCGCGGGTCCCCCTCCGAGGCTCGCCTGACTGCATGGCTGGATCTCAGCCCCACCCGAGACCTAAATAACCCTAGAGGGCACCGAGTAGAGCGCCCCCCTTCCCAGGCTCGCCAGATTGGATGTCTGCGCCCCCCAAGATCCAACCACCCTCGCCCCCGAGATCCACGGGGGGGCCCAAGATGGCTCCGAGCCGCGCGGGGCTCGCCTGATTAGACGTTATCCTGTCTCTCGCGGGGGGGGGGGGGGGGCGCCTACCAGGAACTAGGAACAGT